GATTGCAACACAATTTACTATTTTTGTTAATTTAAGTTTGATATTATTCTTTCACATTTATAATGAGTAGTATATTTTTTTCATTTTAGGTATTATAGTGATGTGTGGCTTCATGAGGATCCAAGCCGAGTTCCCCCACATAGGGATGAGGAGGTCTGCCTTGAGAAAAAAAAGTGCTTGAAAAGATTCTTTGATGATCCAATGGAGCGCACTAAAGAAAATTTGGAGTATGCTAAGTTCCCAATCAAAAAGGGGCCATTTGCTGACATTGATTCCATTGGAGATAGATGTGATATGGATCCTCATAGTTGGTGGGTTGTTTATGGTGCATCTGCACCCACTCTTCAATCTTTGGCTTTAAGGCTACTTGTGCAAACCTTCTTCGTCGTTATGTGCTGAAAGGAATTGGAGTATATACTCTTTTATCCATTCAATGAGAAGAAACAAGATGACACCCCAACGTGCAGAGGACTTGGTTTTTGTTCATAACAACCTCCATCTTTTATCAAGGAGAACCCCACAATACCTTGAAGGAGAAACCAAGTTATGGGGTATTGCGGGAGACACATTTGATTCATTTGATGATGCTGGGATGCTTGAGGTTGCAAATCTCTCACTTGATGAACCTGAGATGGAGGTTGTGTTGTTTACAAATGATGGAGGTGCAAACGAAGAAAAAGATGGTGATGCTAATGATGATGAGGACGTGTAAGAAATTGGATCTACTTGAAGCTTGGGAGGGCCAACTTCTTTTCTTTTTTTTTTCTCTTTCTTTTGCCTCTTATTTAGTACTTATATGAAGAATATTATTGGATGTTGAATGTTTTTCCCTTATGTTTATTGTTGGATGTTAAATCTTTTGCCTCTCTTATATTTATTGAATTAATGTTAATATGTTAATGTTTGTTAATTTTGATTTAGGATGAATGTAATATGAATCTACATAGCACATAAAAATATTTTTAAAAAAAAAAAATTCGCCATGTCCCCTGCCTTGTCCGTGTCCCTATTTTTTTGGAAATTGCCGTGTCCCGTGTCCGTGTCCGTGTCCGTGTCCATGCTTCATAGGGAACAACTACTACTTTCTTCACTGAAGTCAGTCTGACCTGATTCATACCCGAGCTGACGAATCAGACTCCAATCTCAGCTTCTCCGAGCATACCTCCCTTTTCTCAGCCATCCGATCACTCCTACACCTCCCTATTCTCTCTCTGGTGCTGCCCACCTGTCTCTCCAATTTCAGAGTCAGATTCCAGCAGCCAAAACCCAGCAGAGTTCCCCAGAATCTGACGTCATCGCTGGTGTTATCCATGTTCTTGGAAAACTGGGTCAGTGGCGACATCTTCGCTGCTGTTTTTCTGGCAGCGTCGCTCTCTCATTGCTTTGATTGTGGGGGCAGACCGCCAAACGGGGGCCGTTTGACCAGGTTGGTCTCATTCTTTGAAACCCTCTCGTTCTATACACTTATTTTCATCTTAATTGTTTTTATTTTTATTGTTTCACAAAAAAGAAAAGCAGTCTATGTATTTGCTTCACCTTTTGCGTCTCATTGATTGAAAAGGCTTAGAAAAGTTTTTTGTTTTTTGACAAATTCCTGTAGTTTGGTTCATGGGTTTGTTTGACGGTTCAACTAGACTTACGGATTTACGTAAATTAAACAATTATAGAATTAAGTTGACTTTTTTGTTTTTGCATACATTCCTGATGGAAACCAAAGTTGGATTTGATACCAATGGTTGTCCATTCCATTTTTTGTTTTGTTTTGTTTTGTTTTGTCTTGTTTTTTAGATAAGTAAAATTTATTATCAAAACAAAACACCTTGCAGGAGCGAACGCTTTACACCTAAAAAGCCAACATCCGGCATGTACAAGTCACCCATGAACTGCACCAAAAAAAAAGGACATGAGCATAGATTCTTCAAACCACTAATGGGAAGATGAATACCATCAAAAGATCTGATGATATGCTCCCTCCACATAGTCCATATACAATGCATTTGCTACAATCTGCGAATTTGATGCCTACGAGATTTTAGGAATTTTATAATTTTATCTTTATGATTTTGGAAATACTATTTGATTCTAAACATTCTGATGTAGTATGGAATAGTCTAAAATTCTTAGGTTTCTAATTCATGTTGATATAATTTTTATTCTTTATTGGTTTATTATAAATAAGGTAAACCTGTAAGTTATACAGACCTTGAGAGTTTTCTCTATATTTTCCCTATTATTCTAGTATTCTTAGTATTCTTAGTAATCAACAAAATTATAGAAGAGTTGCCATGAACTTGTTACTGCGAATTCTGCTTCTCCACATTTCTCCTGCATCAGTTGTTATAAGAACTTGTGCTTGAGTTTTGATCAAGGCATAATGAGGAAATCATGGTGGATGACATGTCATTGCAGAAGATGTGTACGAATGTGATGAGGCTGCATGGGTTGCACAACTGGAGGAGTGATTCCAACTATTTGAGAATCGATTTGACATGCTAGAACAAGAGGTCAAGGCAATAAGGACCCCAGTAATATTTATCAAACCTTATTCACTGGGGTCCTTATTTTCATGGCTTTTCCAACAAGAGGTCTGAGCAATCTCTCTATTCTAATAAATGAGCACACCCTATTGGCTATTCTAATTCCCCAAGTGGTACTTAAACTCTTCCCTAAGACCACCCCAAAAGAAATTCTTCTACAATTTATCCAACCTATAAGCAACTGAGTACGGGATAGTGAAGATAACATCAGATATTTGGGAAGGCTAGAGAGGGTACTTTTGATATGAGTCAATCTACCCCCTTTTGGAAGATAGTGCCTCTTCGAAGTAGCAACTTTCTCTCAAATCTCTCAACCACCGCCTCCCAGACAACTTTAGCTTTAAATGAAGCACCCCAAGAGGCATACCCAAATAGGTAGAGGGCAAGAAATCAACTCAACACCCCAAGGTCCTGGCCAAATCATCCATACCTCCATGGCTATGAAGCACAGACACAGACACAGCCACAGGCAGGGGTACAGGTACGGGTACGGACACGAGACACGAGACACGACAATTTTTAAAAAATGGAGACACAGACAAGGCGGAGAACACGACAAATTTTTTTATTATATATATTTTTACTTGTTAACTAAAACTAACATAATAACATTAATTCAATAAATATAATATATAAATAAATACACTTAAATTTATAAAGGCAATATATAATATATAAATTAAAGCAGATATATCTGTAATTTATAAAGGCTCTATATATGATATACAAATAAAAACATATATATACATATATAAGTATAATTTATAAAAACATAAAAAAAAAATATATACATACATATATATATCTGTATAATATTCTAGGTTATATAATATATATATGTATCTATATGTAGATCGAAGCAGCGAAGAGAGAGAAGAGAGAAACAGAGCTCGCAAAGCGAGTGAGGGAGAGAGAGAGCTCGATCGAAGGCGTCGCTTGTCGAAGGTCGTCGGAGTTCATCGAGATCGAAGGCGAGAGAGAGAGATGAAGATCGAGGTCGTCGCTCGTCGAGTTCATCGTCTCGTCTGGTTAGGGAAAATACTAGGTCACTCCTCTCTTCTCTCTTTCTTCTTTTCTAATTTCCTTGTCATGTTCCCACCGTGTCCCATAAAAAAAAAATAAATAAATAAATAAAATGGGGACACGTCACGTGTCCATGGTGTGTCCCCGTTTTTGACACCGCTACGGCACTAAGTTTGCCATGTCCATGCTTCATAGCTCCATCACCAACTTTTTTAATAGCTATTTTAGCCAAGTTAACATGCAAACTAGAAACAACCTCAAAACACAATTGCATACCTCTCAAGCCACGACAACTCTTCCTTGACATCACAAAAAAGAAGAGTACCATCAGCAAATAGGTGATGAGACAATGAATCTGCTGCTGCCTTCCCTTATCATTAACAAACTTTTTTTTTAGGTACATTGGAAATAATTATTATTAACAACCTCAAAGCCATGAATAAGGACCCCAGTAATATTTATCAAACCAAATAAATAAGGCCCCCAGTAACCACCCTTTCCAACATGCTACTATGAACCTCCATCACAAAGATGAAAAAGAAAGGATAGAGAGATTGCTCAGACCTCTCGAACCAGGTAAGAAATTCACGGGGACCCAATTCACCATGATCAAGGACATAACCGTAGACAAGAAAAAATTGAATCCACCTCCACCATCGCCCTGACACCCATCTTGTGCATAATTAAGAGAACTCACTACCAACATACATGATCATAGGCTACCAATACATGGTATAAACCATGTATTGTTACAATCTTCACTTTTGAATTTGGTAGATTAACAACCTCAAATTGCAAGGCGGATTCAGGGAGTGATGAAGTCAGTGCATCCATGATTGGCAAGTATTTTCCGAAGTTCTCTCTGTCAGTTTTGGTGATGAAAGAATTGCAATTAAATTTCTGTTGTGGAAAACATACGTCGATTTCAAGGCTTTCTGTTACATACAAGGTTTTAAATAATGGTGGCAGTTATTATAACGGTAACGGTAGCATTGGCGTGGTTGCAGGGTGTAACGGCTGTAGTGTAATGGTGGTGGTAACTAGAACCGTGATTTTTTTAATTCTTCCCACAACTTTAGGAAAGCATACCGATACACATGTTTTTATTTCAGAATCATATTTAGTGGGGTTCAAAATGATTTTTAGTATTTTTGTTTAGTTTTAAACATGATCCAAATTACATGACATAATGTGTGCATTGAACTAAAATTTTTGTATCTCTCATATTTCTATTGGTTTGAAGTTCTTGATGTCATACCCTGTGAGAATCTGATAAAAGCAATTTGATTGACATGGTTTCCATTTTGTGATGGATATTGTCAATAACAAGTTCTATTTTGTTCTGGATGTCTCCAAATTAGTTTTCTTGAAACCATTGTCCATACATGCTTTATATCCTGTTCATATAATTGTTTATTAACCTATATTTTCCATGTTAAGACACTAAATAGGAAGCTTGTGCATGTGAGCGTTGGGCTAGTTTTCATGCTTTGCTGGCCACTATTCAGGTAATATTAACGTGATCAGAGAAGCTTTTAGTTCTATCTCATATCTGCTCTCTGATTCAGCTGTTAATTACCATTTCAGTTCTGGTCATCAGGGAGCAGTTATAGCCTCTCTTATTCCTGGCTTAAATATAATAAAGATGCTTCTAATCGGACTTGGTATATGGAAGGATGAGGCTACAGTCAAGTCAATGAGCAGATTTGGAGACTACAGGTTACATATCTGGAAGAATGATTCATTCAGTATGTCTGTATGTCTGTTTGGTTTGGTTTGCAAAAACTGTTTTCTGATCTATTCATTGATTTAGTTTTTGAAAACTGTTTTTGAGGGGTTGATTTTTTATTTTTTTATTTTTTATTTTTGTATTTAGTAAACTCTTTTCATATTTTAGTCAAATTTTTTAGGGTAAAAAAAACACACTAAAGATAAAAATTATTAATAATAATAAACATGGAAATGTGCTGCCTTTGATGATTTTTTTTTTTTTTTTTAGTCAACTTTTTTCATATTCTAGTCAACCTAATTTTACTTTTTAGATGCATCTAGACTAGGTTAAACAGTTTCTAAAAAATAAAACAAACTGCCCTCAGATTCAATTATGGTGAAAAGAACCCTTTTTATTGTTGAACTGCAATGGACCAAGTTGATCATAAACAAATCGGGCACAGCTCATTAGGAAGTTTATTCAACCTTTTATTTCTATTTTTTAATATTACTTGTATTGAAAAGGAGAGGAAAAAAAAAGTTCATTCAAGCTTTTCTGACTATTAAATAAGCTAATCTGGAGCTTGTATTTCAAGCTTGCCTATGTTGAGGGACATGAATTTTGGCTTGATTAGGCATGGATAGCTGGTATAGATGTGTTATTTAGTTGAAATAACATAGTCCATTATGATATTTCAGCAAAATATATAGAATAGTACATGCAATGATGAAAATCACCAGTGAGTTTATGGGAAGAAAATGATCGAGTTTTTTTTTTATGTTTTGTGACATTTTTCCTTTTCACTTTCTGGTATGCTGTAAGGTTTTATCACTAGTTTATATCAGTCAAGTTGGGAGTGTTCGATTTCAACATAAAAATACGATTGTTTGTTGAAACGTGGGCAAATCAATTCTATGGACTAATTAAGCACACGCTTGGCTCACGTTGGTCCAAATTTTACTGGTCTTGGTAAGACAGAACATATGAACTAGCATATATATTTTCTTCCATCTGTTCTTTTACATAGATCTCAATTTTTCCTTGATGGACCAGGGAACTTCTGAAGGGCCCGCTATACTACGCTGCGACAATTACTTTGTCTTGTGCTATTTATTGGAGAAGTTCTCCAATCGCAATTGCAGCGATTTGCAACCTTTGTGCTGGAGACGGTACTGTTTTTTGAGTTTATTACTCTCTGAAAGTTGTCAACTTAATTTCGATGAGACTTTTAAACTGATATATGCCAATATTTTTTCTTTCAAAACTCGATTTGTTTCAGGTATAGCCGACATTGTTGGAAGGCGATTTGGCATTCAGAAAATTCCCTACAACAGAAACAAAACCATTGCTGGTAGCCTTGCAATGGCAACTGCCGGTTTCATAGCATCTATTGGGTATCTTTTGCTTGTTAGTATCTGCAGTAACTCGGATTGATTGATTGCCGCTAATAAATTGCGTCATTGCAGGTTCATGCACTATTTTTCATTGTTCGGATATGTTCAAGAAAGTTGGGAAATGTGTTTGGGTTTCTTGGTTGTGTCTCTCGCAGCAACACTGGTTGAATCCCACCCTAAAAGCACTGAGCTCGATGACAATCTCACAGTTCCCCTTGCTTCCGTGTTGGTGGGCAGTTTTATCTTCTGATTTCAAGCAAATTTACAGTGATGTTTCAGCCAACTCGAGCTGGGTAATGTATTGGTTTTTCATCTTAGGAATCTGTATTAATGTATCGGCTTTTCTTCTTGGGAATCTGTATTCATTTAGTTCCACAAATTGTACGAGCAGTAGAACCAAGTAGTTCTTGTTGTAGTTCTCTGTAGAATACCAAATCTGTGTGCTCTTAAGCACACAAATTGGAATTACATCTCTTGATTTTATGAATTTCAGTCACTTCAATTGTATCTTTTATGTATTAAGCACACAATAATTTTTCCAACACCTCTCAACTGTATAATTCTTAGTTAATCTTGATTTTATCTTGTCTTCAAAATTTCTGTCATCCTGATTTAATTCACTCCAGCCATTAGTTATGTCCGGAATTTTGAAATACGATCATGCAATTAAAATTGCAGCATCATAAGGTACTAGGGGTGTTCAGCGGATATTTCGATCCATTCAAACTGAGCGAATCAAACTGATTTGTCACATTTTGGACGGATGCATGATGACAAGCAGACGGTTGCAGATTGATTTTTTCCAATCTGTCTAGTTTTAGACAGATGGTGGATTTGAAGTTCATTTGGCCACAATCGAATCGTCAAACCGCAAACACCCCTAGTAATTTGTAAGACTTTGTGTTTGTAATTTAGAAATTTTTTTATCAAATGATATATGTTATATTTAATATTTTTGTGTAGACAATATAAGGTTTAATTTTGTCATTTTTAAAAAAAAATCAAATTAAATAGTTTTGAATATAAAAAATAATGAAATAGTCGTGATAATGCATGATTTTTTTATATGTATTTATTATTGGTATTTAATAATTTATTTGATAATCTTTTGGTTATGTTGAGTTGGATTGTTATAAAAAAAAATGTTGACAAGTTGTATTTGTTGGAACAATCTTCTGTGTAAATAAAATAAATTGAAATAATTCAAACAAAATAAAATAAAACTTACAGAATTTATTTTGTGAACCGAATCAATAATTAAAATTGTGAACCGAATCAATAATCAAGTCGAGTGTGTGACACTCTGTCTTTAAGATAGATTTGCCCTGCTACGGTACTTACAGTTGAGTGGCATCTATCTCCCAGGATACAATGATCTTCACAAATTGTAGTAGTACTTCAAACAATTTATTCGGCGAACCAAACTTGTGTTCTAACTCTCTGAAATATATATTAAAATTAATATGAAGAATAATGCACTAAAAGAACAAAATTGGACAACAAAGATGGAATCTTCTAACTTATTTTTTCTCCAACTCAGACCGCTGGAATCATAGAAGTATATATAGGCAAAAAACCTTAGCCCCAAACAAGTTTCACAATGAAGTGAAAAGGTGCTTCAAAATTTCAACCAATTTGAAGAAGATTCCGAAAGTGTAGCAGTTAAAGAACTGTTGGACCTTTATTATTTAAACCATTTGAACATATATATATATATATATATTAAACTATTTGAATAGTTTAATAAATAAATAAAGAGGTACAAATTTTAAGAAACCACTAAGAAACCTAGAATTTGAATTTAGAATTAAATTAAATTCTCATAATTACAAATTTCAGGAAACCACTCAGATAGGGTGAGCAGCGGATATACCGATCCGCCAAAACCGACTGAACCGAACCGATCCGCCGCATTTTGGACGGATGCGTGATGACGAGCGGACGGTTGCGGATTGATTTTCTCCAATCCGTCAATCTGGCAGACGGATGGCGAATTTGAGATTCCTTTAGCCGCAACCGAACCGCCAAACCGCGAGCACCTCTAATAATTTATAGGACATTATGTTTTAAGTTTGTTTAAATATTCTGTTTGTGTTTTCAATTAAAAAAGAGTTTAAATATTCTGTTAAAAAAAAGTTTTCAACTTAAATATCTTTTTTGAATTGAAAAAAATAAACGTATTATTTATCTATATTTTTTGGTTTTTAAATCTATCTCTAAAAATAATAAATAGAAAATATGATATGTATTGGTTGGTTTTTGTTTTCAAAAATACATATAGATGTAACAATAAAGAGACATATAATCTCTGCTTTGTTCATCGTTTTGGTGGTTTGAATTGTTTTTATATTTTAAGAATCACATATTGTAATACTTTATGTGGATAAGGCATGCTGTGATTGTAGTATGTGGATGAGGTATGCAGTGATTGTGATATTCTAAAGTTTCAAACTTTCTTGCTTTGGATGAGGTATGCAGTGATTGTAATATTTTTTTTAAATCATTGGCTGTAATACTTTCTTCTTCTTTTTTTGAGGAACTGCACAAGTTGAATTATTTTAAAAATTTATAAAATTTTAAATCGCCAAACCGATTTTTATCTATCCGCCAAACCGCCAATTCGCTCAATCCATATCTGTCGGATTGGCAGACGGATGCGGATTGATTTTCTCCAATCCACCAATCTGGCAGACGGATGGCAGATTGGAGGTTCCGTGGCCGCAACCGACCCGCACCCACCCCTACACTCAGGAACTCAAAATTTGAATTTAGAATTAAATTAAATTCTCACAATAATTTTTATTGAAAAAATTCAAATGAATTTTATCTAAAAAATTAATGTTAGACCCGAAAACGACGTCAACTTCCAATTCACTCATAAATAGTTTTGATGTGCCGTCTTTACCGTGTGACTTGCCACGCGGCAAGGAACACTTCACCTCTTCGGACCCATCCCAAAAGACGTTTGGGGCCTACTCAAATTTGGGCTAAAAAATATGCCTATATTAAACCATTTTTTTTCCAACAATCCCCCACATGAATGGAATTTGACGGAGAGAAAATGCAACAATATGACCTAATAACAGAGAGTACAAAAATTGGTAATATTCTGCAAACGATAGGTAGCTTTTGGCTTTGAACCTTCCCTTGTGAGACACTATCGGATTTACTAGCTAACCAGTGAACATAATGTCTTGAACTGTTCAACCGTTTGTGTAAACCAAGACAACAGAACTCACACAATATATCCCCAGACACAGTTTAGTTCTTACTATTGTGTTCATTTTGGCCCTGAACAACTTGGTCTTTCATGAGTGCTCTAGAGAATTGTAGCCCTTCACAAATTTCATAGAACCGGCCCAGTTCACACTCACATAGGTGATTCTTATGAAGAGTATCCTGCTATACTCCACTAGATTAACCTAGATATAAGAATCATTAAAATTTTACTTAACCTCAAACGCTGCAGTCATCACTATTTCATCATAGAAATGGGTAGGAGTTAAACTCCCCAGTGATCCTTCTGAGTCAATCACAACTTGGTTGTCCCTTTGAACCTAGATCTTGGGATCTCCAGTCAACTAGGTTGGGTTGCCGTTGTGGTAACTCTTATTTAATAGGCGTTAGTCCTATTCCCCTCGATGAATTCTCAACTAACTCTCTTGCTAACCCTTTGGTTAGTGGATCCGCTATGTTGTCTTTAGACTTAACATATTCTATGGAAATAATTCCATTAGAAAGTAGTTGTCTTACGGTGTTATGTCGACGACGAATGTGTCGTGACTTACCGTTATACATATGACTCGGTGCTCTACCTATTACTGATTGACTATCGCAATGTATGCATATAACAGGCACCGGTTTTGGCCAAATTAGAATATCTTCAAGGAAGTGGCGAAGCCATTCTGCCTCTTCCCCTGCTTTGTCCAAAGCTATAAATTCTGCTTCCATAGTAGATCTAGCAATGCAAGTCTGTTTGGAAGATTTCCAAGATACAGCCGCCCCACCAAGAGTAAAGACATACCCACTAGTGGACTTTGTGTCTCTAGTATCCGATATCCAATTTGCATCACAGTATCCTTCAAGTACTGCTGGATATCTAGTATAATTTAGCTTAATGTTATGAGTAAATCGAAGATGTCTTAGAACCCTTATAATTGCTTTCCAGTGTTCTACTCCTAGATTACTCGTATATCTACTTAATTTACTTACTGCATAAGTTATATCTCGGCGAGTGCAGTTCATCAAATACATTAAGCTTCCAATAATTTGGGCATACTCTAATTGAGAAATACTTTCCTGTACATTCTTAGAAAGATACAAATTAACATTTACAGGTGTTCTAGCTAGATGATCATCATCTTTGCTGAATTTGTCAAGTATTTTCTCAATGTAATGAGATTGTGACAAAGCATAACCTTCTGATGTTTTGATAATTTTCATACCAAGAATTATATCAGCAATGCCCATGTCTTTCATGTCAAAATGTTTATTCAACATTTTCTTGGTAGTTTTAATCATGTCATTATTATTGCCTATGATGCGCATATCATCTACATAAAGACATACAATGACATAACCTTTGTCTGTGTTTTTAATATAAACACATTTGTCACATTCATTAATTTTAAATTCATTTGACATCATTGTCTTGTCAAATTTCTCATGCTATTACTTTGGCGCTTGTTTTAAACCATATAATGATTTAACCAATTTGCACACTTTCTTTTCTTTTCCTGGAACAGAAAAACCTTCTGGTTGTTCCATGTAAATTTCTTTATTTAACTCTCCATTTAAGAAAGCGGTTTTCACATCCATTTGATGAATTTCTAGATTGTATAGAGATACAATAACAATTAGCATTCTAATGGATGCTATTCTAGTAACCGATGAGTATGTGTCAAAGTAATCAAGACTTTCTTTTTGTCTAAATCCTTTGACCACAAGTCTTGCCTTGTACTTGTCAATTGATCCATCCGCTCTCATTTTCCTTTTGAAAATCCACTTGTACCCAAGAGGTTTACAACCTGGTGGCAAATCCACCAATTCCCAAGTGTGATTTTGCAAGATGGATTCAACTTCACTGTCATTTAAGGGTTGTGAAATAATTATAAGACTTTAGGACTGGACATAGCCTCTTTAAAAGTTAAAGGCTCATTTTCTAACAAAAATGTTAGGAAATCTGGACCAAAATATTTTGAGGTTCTAGCACGTTTACTACGCCTAGGTTCATCTTTCTCATTTTGATCTAACTCTTGCTATTGATCATGTTCTTGATCATAACTAGTAATAGCATCAAAAGATCTCTTATTATTATTAGTCTCTTGTCCAGTCTTATTTAGAAATACATGTTCAAAGAATGATGCATTCCGAGACTCAATAATAGTATTTACATGCATTTCGAAATGTTCTGATTTATGAATCAAAAATCGATATGCACTACTATTCTTGGCATAACCAATGTAAATGCAATCAATGGTCTTAGGACCTATCTTAGTCTTTTTAGGACTAGGAATAACCACTTTAGCTAAACACCCCACACTT